ATTCCATCTCAGTCCTCAGTGGTGACAACGTATCTGCATTTTGATGATTATTATTATATCATCAGATGTCTATGGGCCACAGCAACATCTTACCTTCATGTGGACTGTGTGCTCGTTTGTTACTCTTATGCTATATATAAAAAAAAATAGGATCTAAGGTCTCCAGTTCTCTACACTTACCATACGAAACACAGCAGCGTTAAGCTGCTATTTTACGCTGGTATTCTGTATGTAAAAAGCAATTCAATCAAGATTATGAATACAATAATGTAAATGTTGTTGCCATACAGAATTGTAAGCTTGGTCATCAGTTTCCATTTCTACTTGTGTTTACGCTTGTTTGTGCCTATTTGATGAAATATAACTTTAAAAACGTTTGCGAAACAAAAGTGACGTAAGCAGTACATCAAGAAAATTTACCAATAGTGACATTAATTAAAAGTTAAAATAAAGGTTTATATTATCTATGGTGAGGTTCATTATCTATTTTAATTTGAAATGCGCGAGTTTATAAAGACAACATAAATGTTTTGGATTGAAATGCTTTTAATTAAACACTTGACGATATTCATTTCAGGATAAATATTTTTCATTTACATCTTATAATACTTAATACTAGCTTTTTTCTTTTCACTTTCACATGTACTTTGCTTTATCAACATCATTATTATTCCATACCAAAATTCAGTACCAGATTTTAGCTATGCTTGGATCCAATAAGTAGCGCTTAGATTATTTGAGAGTAAATAATCTAAGAAGTAGGGCTGTGGTTGCGGTATTATACATTTGAAATTATGGAGTGAACGTATTATCAAGTCTCTGAGAAGAACATTTATGATACAGTGCTCTGTCCATCATCTTGACAAAGCAAATATTATAAAATACTATAAATATAAGCTCAATCGGTCATGTCGTTTACAATTTACACGATCACTAACAGATGTACAAACAATTAAACAGGGTTATTTTGCAATAACCAGCCATATTTGCAAAGAACTTTCAGAACAAATAATATAGGCAAATGGTAAAGAACAGTATTTAAAAAAAAACTCAAATATTCTGTACTTTTTACCTTTTAAATTCAAAATGCGTGGTAATGCACTATTTTAACTGATTTTACTGCGAACACACATTCGTAAGGGTCGATCGGTAGGCAAAAATGTTGTTACCCAAAAATCACATTCAATTTGGGATAATTTCAAATAAAAATAGAGTCCTTATTTAGTCGTATTTCCAAAAACTGCAATAACGGTATATTATATTTTATATATTTGAACTTAAGCTTAAAATTTGGCTACTCTTTGAAAAATAACCCCCTGTATAATAGACTAGCAGTCCGTCCCGGCTTAGCACGGGTGATTTCTACATTTTGACATTTGACAACAACGCCACCTATCGGGTCCAATTGTGAATCTAAGCCCTTCTCGAATCAGACACACGCAAAATCTCATCAAAATCGGTCCAGCCCTTTAGGAAGAGTTCACACACAGACAGTAGAATTATATAATGCAAATATAAAGGTATTTAGAATATATTATAGGATAAATGAGAATGTCTCGCAACCAATGCTGATAAATTATTTATGCAAAAATATCCTATATTCGATCCGCCCCGGCTTCGCACGGCTGATTTCTGGACATCGACAACAGTGCCACCTACCAGCTCTAATCGTGAATCCAAACCATTTAGGGACCCATTCAAATACATACAAAAAGAATATTCTGGACAAATTTTATACCTAGGGGAGCTATAGTTTGAACATGTGTTTTTTTTAAATAACACCCCCGCAACCCCCTTTGCGGGTGGAATTTTGTAAAATCCGTTCTTATCTGACCTCTACTCGGCGAAAGGAATATTTTTACCAAATTTTAAGTCTCTAGGCCTTATGGTTCCAGAGATATCGTGATGAGTCAGTACATACATATACTGGGTAGCGATTAAGTTATAACAATTTTTTTTATATATAAAATGGGTGACAAACGAGCACACAGTCCACCTGATGGTAAGTGGTTGCTGCGGCCCATAAACATCTACATCTATCCTCTATTACAAATCAAAATGTAGATGCGTTGTCACCCGTGAGGACTAAGATGGAATGCCTCATTTCCAGTAAAAAGGGCCTCCGGCCACCTGCACTCACCAAGCGAAACGCAGAGGTAAACCTCTACTTCACGCTAATACATATATGTCTATTAAATAACATATAACAATAACATAATATGTCTGTCAAAATAATAAAATAAACAATTCTACCAAAAATAACAAAATGCATCTTTCAAACAAAATATATAGCGTAAAATTGACACGAAATAAATCAACTTGATAATATTAGTTTACTGGCCTGAAGTGCCTGAAGTGACCTGTAAAAGCGACAACGGTGCGGCAGGTGCGCAGTACTCACGCGACATACGTAATTATTTTCCTACACTATGTATACTCGGAGAGCTGGCTACGAAAACGTGAACTGATAAGGTGTAGTAACGAATTATATATATAACCTCTCCTTGTTAGCTTATAAGTACAGAGCGAGGCCCGTCAGAACTCTCTCCCAGAGCGGAAAGCGTGGGTTGGCGGTCAAAGTCGTAAATTTTCAATAAAAAAAATGATTAGGTGCAGTTCTGTAATTTGGTAGAGTTATAATTTTTAACTGTAGGAATCTAGGAAAATTATTGTCATAAGTCTAGGTCGGGGCTTAAAGACTGTCAGAAGTCGACAAAGTTGTAAAGAAATTGTTTAAATTTAAACCACAAGGTGCAGTTCTGACAAATGCATTTTTATATTACTTATCGAACCTGTACATAAATTGTCAGAAGTCTTAATAATGGCTAAGTACATAAAAATTGATGATATAGTCAGAAGTTGCTGAAGCGGCTATCGCGACGAAAAGCAACGTTTCGAATCTAGTTTTGAGTTAAAACAACAAGGTGCAGTTCTGACAATTGCATTTTTATATTATTTATAGCTTACCGAACCTGTACATATATTGTCAGAAGGCTAAATAAGGGCCTTGACGTTTTTAAGGTGCTGGAGAGCCATTCTAATCTCGCTCAGACTGACGTCCGGGATATCATAGGAATAGTGTCGGATAAGACTCGCCCCTGGATCGTTACTCACACTTACGTGTGGCTCCAACGATGATGTGTACAGCTGCCCATAGAACCTCTCAATCTCACTCAAAATCTCAGGTGTCCCGGAAACGACGCTGCCACACTCGGTCTTCAGCTTCGACAGTTGGCGCATTCTGGCAGACTTTGGAGCCCTGGTTCCACTAGATCGCTTCTTCAATACGAGCAGTATTAAAGTTGCGTAAGTACCGCCGCATGCATTTGGAGATCTGTCTGTTCAGTTGCCTGTATGCTGTCAAATCTACTGAAGACTGCATATCTCATGGCTGAAGACATCATATCCCGTCTAACCGCCATGAGATTAAGAGTGTGATCGGAGAGTTTTTGTGTTCATTTGCGGCGAGTCTTGTAAAACTTAGCTCTGACCGCATGGACAGTTTCCACGAGCTTGTCATTCATATCGTCCACTGCATTGCAATCTTCTAGGCACTGAAAACGGTTTCGTAGCTCGAGCTGAAAGGTTTCGGGAATTTTATTAGAGCACGAGGGGGTCGGAGCGTTGACTTCATTAGACGTGACCTCTCCAACTTAACGTTTAGGTTCAGTGTGCCTCTCACCATTCGGTGATCGCTGCCGGTTTTCACCCTCGCGATCACTGAGACATCACTGAACAGTTGTCGTCTGGTCGTCATAATGAATTCAATCTCATTTTTTGTCGTCGGGGCTCGACTAGGTCCACTTCCTGTGGGGCCGCTTCTGGAAGAAAGAATTCATCATAAAGAGTCCCTCTTTTTCTATGAAGTCGGTCAACTGCTGGCCCCTTAGGTTCCGTTACCCTATTTCGAATTTCCGTGCTGACAGCTCACCGTTCTCTCTTGTGCCTAGTTTTGCGTTGAAGTCTCCCATTAACACCGTATAGTGGGTTTTGGAGGAATGCATGGCTCTAGAGATATCCTCATACATTTCCTCCACCTCCTCATCGGGATGTGCCGAAGTTGGTGCGTAAACCTATATGACCTTCAGCGAATACCGTTTGGTGATTCTGAGTATAAGGTACGCAACACTCGTCGGCACACCCCCAATCTTTACAACGTTGTTAATGAGAGACTTGTGGACGATAAATCCGACACCTCCTTGGGACAGATGGTCGCCCTCCCGGTGATAGAACAAGTTTCCGGATTCCAGGATTACCGTGTCCTCCCCCCCTCTTCGGACCTTGGATAATCCTATGATATTCCAGCGCAACTTGTCTATCTCTTCTTCCAGCTCCAGGATATTCTCGTCAGTCCTCAGGATGTGTGCGTTATAAGTTGCCAGGTTGAGTCGTCGTAGGTGGCAACCGAACCTCCACCGGAGATTCTTAGCAACCCCTGCCCCGCCGTTACCATGGTCGCCACCGTAGCCAGGAATAGCGGGGCCGCCGGGGACTGGGGGCCGTCTTTTTGTAACTTTTATCATGGGGGGTATATTGCTATAGTTGCCACGCTTGGCGAGCGGGTTGGCAACCGCAGTTTTTTTTATTGTTGTTTTGCTATGCAAGATCAGAAAGATGCTGCCGCACATCTTCTGTCGCCTCTTACAACATCCACGGGAAGATATGGGGTAGTGAGTATTCTTACCCGCCACTAAACGGGGAATCATAGAACGTCATGTAGGATAAATCTTCTTTTAATGTGATAACTTTATCGCCACCCCGTATAAGAACAATTTTTTTTAATTAACGCCCTTGAACTTCGTGAAATGCGTTCTTAGCTGACCTCTATTTGCGAAAAGAATATATATATAGATAATGGTACCTATTCAGTTAAGTAAGTTCCTTAGTACATGAGATAAATTTTGCAATTCAATAAATGGTCATCGTGTAGTTTACGAGCTAAAATTATGTTAAAAATGTAACTACTAAATATCTACAAAAATATAAGATTAAAGACTTACAATGCATTTTTTGGATCAAATGGTCGGAATAACATGAGGGGTATCGGAAGTGTTGCAAATGATAAAGACAGCACCAGGAACAAAGTAAACTGCAAAAGAATAAACATAAATAATTCGTGCTATATTTGAACACATGACTTTTGATCAGCGTATATGGCATCTGAATCTTCAGTTCCGAGTTTGAATCCTAGCAGGAGGCCATCGAAAGAAAATATTTTATCCTTTAAACACATCGTTCGAACTTTTCTCCGAGTTGGGCGAGCTTGCTCAAAAGTACAAGCAATGCGTTGTAACATCATCTTCATCATTATCATTACAGCCCTTCATAAGTCCACTGCTGAAGATAGGCCTCCCCAAGGCATGCCACAAATAACGGTCCTGAGTCACCTGCATCCATCGACTTCCTGCATGTCTTACCAGGACGTCACTCCATCTAGTTGGGGACGCCCTACACTTCGCCTGCTAGTGCGAGCCACTCGAGAACCTTTCTTCCCCATCGGTTGTCGGTTCTTCGAGCTATATGGCCGGCCCATTGCCACTTCAGCTTACTAATCCGTTGGGCTATGTCGGTTACTCTGGTTCTGCTGCGGATATCCTCATTTCTAAGTTTATCACGCAGAGAAACTCCGAGCATAGGCCACTCCATAGCTCGCTTAGCAACCTTGAGCTTCCTCATCCGGCCAGCAGTGCAGGACAACGTTTCAGTTCCATAGGTTATCACTGGCAACACGCACTGGTTGTACAGTTTCAAGTTTTGAGGTATACCTGACGAGAAGATGTGCCGTAATTTCCCAAACGCTGCCCAACCAAGTTGAATTCGTCGATTGACTCTCGGTCGAAGTTGGACTTAGCTAGTCAGACTATTTGTCCCAGGTAAACATACTCGTTAACAACTTCGAGGCAATAGTGCTCTCAACAACTACCGGCATAGGTGTGACATGGACATTAAACATTATCTTTGTTTTGTCCATGTTCATCTTAAGACCTATCCGTTGGGAGAAACTATTGAGGTTATTGAGTTTAGGTCCTCCAGCGATTCTGCCATAAGGACTATATCGTCGGCAAATCGAAGGTTAGTAATGTACTCGCCATTGATGGTAATACAGTATTCTTTCCAGTCCAGTAGCTTGAAAACGTCTTCCAATGCAGCAGTGAAGAGTTTCGGGGATATAACATCACCCTGTCTTACACCTATCTGCAGTTGTATGGGTTTCGTACTCTGGTTCTGTACTCGGATAGCCATCGTAGCCCTACTGTACAAGCACTTCAGCACTTCGATATACCGACAGTCAACTTGGCATCGCTGAAGGGACTGCATCACCGCCCAAATTTCGACGGAATCGAAGTGGCAGATTGTACTCTTCAGTCTTCTCTACAGTTTGCCGAAGGGTGTGGATGTGGTCTATGGTACTAAAACCTTTTCGGAAACCGGCTTATTAGGGAGGCTGGAAGTCGTCGAGTCTGCGTACGATTCGTAATGACTCACGAAAACAGCTTGTAGACGCGGCTCAGAAGGGAAATCGGTCTGTAGTTCTTCAAGAGAGTGTTATCGGTTTTCTTGAAGAACAAGACCACCGGCACTTCTGCTTCACGCCTCCGGAGTAGTGCCACCATGGAGGACGGAATTAAAGAACTTCTGAACGACTTCAATTACTGTTTTCCACCCGCTTTCAGAAGCTCCGCTGTAATTCCATCCTCACCTGGGGCCTTGCCGTTTTTAAGGTGCTGGAGAGCCATTCTAATCTCGCTCAGACTGACGTCCGGGACATCTTCGGAATAGTGTCGGACAAGACTCGCTCTTGGATCGTTACTCACACTTGCGTGTGGCTCCAACGATGACGTGTACATCCCATAGAAGCCCATAGAACCTCTCAATCGCACTCTCAGGTGCACAAATCTCAGGTGTCCCGGAAACGATGCTGCCACACTCGGTCTTCAGCTTTGACAGTTGGCTCTTTCTTGAAGACAGATCTCAAAGGCAAAGACTTTGTAGCCTTGGTTCCGCTCGATCGCTTCTTCAATACGAGCTGTATTGAAGTTGCGTAAGTCTCTCCGCATGCATTTGGAGATCTGTCTGTTCAGTTACAGTAACATACACAACAATAATATCAAAGTATTTCAAAAACGTCAAATTATAAGAATTGATATTTTATACTTTGATATTTTTGATACTGTTGATGTGACTGTGAAAGTTTTGACTAGCATATTGCTGCTCATTTTTAGTGATGAAAACTAGGATTAATTTTCAGTAACAGTACTTTAGATTCTTACTATGTACCTGCCGACCGCAGAACAACCCCTAAAGGGCGGAGAACATGGCTACTGCGTCTCGTGTGCTTAACACGAGACGCAGTAGCCATCCTTCCCTTCTCTGGAAACAACATTTATTTGTGTAAAATAGCGGAAGCTTACAATCGAAGGAGTTTGTGCTGTGACTGTCCCCGCATCTTCTACCAATCTTATCGCTCAAGCATTACAATGGGAATGGGCCAAGAAATGACAAATGAGAATCCCAATGTCAACGCGTAACGTTATTGGTTATGGTCCTCCTGTGCAGTTGACAGACAAAATTCTTGCCGTGGTCGAGATTGCCGTCTAAAATACGACTTTAGTAGATTTAAACACTATTTAATATCGATTTTATACATTAGTTAAAACACATTAATGCAATCAATAAATAATTTAAAAAGCAATTAGTAATAAATTAAAATATGTGTAGATCCAGGGTATTTATCTGAATCCTCATGGTTATCAACGCCTTTACTCTATACATGTCTATGGGCTAAAGTGTCCACTTAGCATATGTGCTAATTTCAACGTCTTGCTATTCGAGCCGAGCTAGGTAATGCCATCATTAAGATAAGTGTTCTCTAATTTTATCGAAAATCTTATGTTTTATTTTGAATTGAAAGAATAACAGTAAAATAAAGTAACTACCTTTATACGCCCTACTGCTGAGGCCTCCTCTCATTCCTACGAGGTTTTTAGAGTGCAAGGAATAGTCCACCGCGTTGCTCCACTGCATGTTAGCCGACTGCACATGTTTCCTCACGAGCATATGCTGATCATGTAATGCTGAGTAGTGTTATCATAAAGTGTTATACACATATTTAAGGGATGAACATGAGTATTGTGGATGTGTAATATATTACTAAAGTACTAAACACTAGTGTGTATCTGTCTGATAAAAAGTATTATTATTATTGTCTTAATAAATATAATAGTTACACTAACCTTTATATAATATCGGGCAATGGAACTGATTGTGAACAATATGATGAGCAGTGCCATTATACAGCCCAGCACAACGTTGAAAGCCGCCATTGCTCTGTTTACAACCAAAAACAAAGAAATTAATAATTATAATAAAAGGATAAAAACAGATAAAGAATTTTGTTATTCATGTACTTAGCTCTCAGGAGTTATATAGTTGAGAGGATGGTACACAGACGAACTCCCAGTCAGAAAAGGAATGCTACATAGTAAAAAAAAATTATAGCTGAGCTGACGTGAAGCGTCGATGCTTTGGAACAATTATTGCAGTCTGTGAACAGGTTTATTTGTCTCCGTCATTCCATCAAATTTTATAGACCACTAATCCTCGCAAAGCTCACCTATTCTTGTCAAGGATGATTCATGACTCACTTGATGGAATCACTCATGAGGCAGCAGTTAGAATAGCTACTTTCACTGTATAACCAAAGTAAGACGATTATTTATACCATCGTTATCGTTAGTCGCCACAGGACACAATCGCGATCGATATCTACATTTCAACATAATAATACAACTCGGTCTCAGATCAATCAAAAAAGTCTCTAAAAAACTATTTTAATGTTCTCAATATTTACTATTTATTAAACACGCCTATGGGCTATGCTCGGGGTTTCTCTGCCTGATAAACTTAGAAATGAGGAAATGAGGAGGAGAGTGACCGACATAGCCCAACGAATTAGTAAGCTGAAGTGGCAATGGGCCGGCCATATACCTCGAAGAACCGAAAACCGATGGGGAAAAAAGTTTCGAGAGTGGCGGCCTCGTACCGGTGGACGAAGGATAGGGCGTCGTGCTTTGTGGCATTACTTGGGGGAGGCCTATGTTCAGCAGTGGACTTGTGAAGGGCTGTAATGATGATGATGATGATATAACGGTTGGATTATGCCTGTTCTCATGTATACCTTTGGCATACTCAGGTGGACTCAGACCGAACTGAACGCTCTGGGCAGAAAAGTCCGCACTATTATGACGTGCCACAGGATGCATCATCCGAGATCGTCAGTAATGAGACTGTACTTGCCGCAGAAGCATGGTGGGCGTGGCTTTTAAGCGCGCTTACCATGCATAATCGCGAAGCGTGCAGCCTCCGTAATTACTTTCTGACGAGAGCGGATGATCCATCCATCCATATAAGGACGTTATTTTTTGTGATAAAGACTAACCCCTCTATCCTTAGCCAACGAGCAAGGGCAAGACCCGGCAGTATAGAGCATTTCCGACCGGGAGACCGTATGGAAGGAGAAGAAGCTCCACGGGAGGTTCTACAAGGCTCAACATGAGCCTTTCGTAGACACAGTCCCCTCCCTCCACTGGCTACGTTTCGGTGACCTCTTTGGGGAAACCGAGGGTTTTGTCTGTGCAATACAGGATCAGGTTATTAAGACCAACAATTATCGGAAATACATCCTAAAGGATGGCGACGTCGACATCTGTCAAGCTTGTCGCCATCCCGGTGAGTCACTTAAGCATGTCATCTCCGGTTGTTCGGCGCTTTCTAACTCTGAGTATTTGCACAGACACAACCTAGTAGCCAGAATTCTACACCAGGAACTCGCTCTGAAATACGGTCTCGTAGATCGGAAACTGTCATATTATAAGAACTTGCCGGAAGCAGTGCTCGAAAATAACCGCGCCAGGCTCTACTAGGACCGGACAATCATCACAGACAGGACTATTCTTGCGAATAAGCCTGATATTGTGCTGATGAACCGGGCACAGTCAAGGATATTTTTGGTCGACATTACCATTCCTTATGACGAGAACCTCGTGAAAGCCGAAACAGATAAGCTGACAAAATATCTGGACCAAGCTCACAAGGTGACCGACTTGTGGGGTGGTCTGTGGGCCGAAATTATACCTATAGTCGTTTCTGCGAACGGGTTAATCCCAGTCAGCCTCTCGGATCATCTGAGGCGACTGGGACTCCGTGACGGACCGCTCCAAGCTCAAATGCAGAAGGCGGTGCTCCTCGATACCGCCCGTATCGTCCCCCGGTTTCCTAGTTAAAAGAAATGATTGACAACGAAGTTATATAACCTATTGTGGCCACACTAAAGTTTAAATTCGTTCATAATCGCATTAATGGACATTAGACAGGCTAGCTTTTTAGACCTAAAAACCACGACTTATAACCGTTAAACGTTAGACGAGTACATGTAGTACATGATGCGGTCTTTTTTGGAAAATGAAAGAGATTTTTTATGCGTTATTTAATGCGTGTAATGGCCGCACTTGCGTTTGTATGCGTGTGTGTATGTATATCCCGCTTAAAAAAAAACTGTTGATCGACGATAGCTGCGGCTAGCAATTAATATTATTCTACTGGTGTGGGTCTGTGGCTATGGAGTGGAAAAATGAAAAAGTATTCTTTTATCATTCACCATCTTTTCTAAAATTTAATTTGGCTGGTCTAAGAATATAATAAATAAATAAAAATTACAACCTAATAGGAGTACTATAATGTAGCAACTTTAAACCTGATTTTGCAAACAACGCGAGAATTATCGATATACTAGAGGAAGTGTAGCCACTGAATTTTAACGTCATATTTATTGCATATATAGTTAAGTTATATGTTAAACATTAACGTTAATAAGCCCACAGCAGAACATTGAGAAATAAAAATTATATGTATGGTGCTTTCTTCACAATGGTATAATGTATGGTACTTTCTTCACAATGCTTTCTTAACAAAAAATTCCCCTAGAATTATCTGTTGTGCTAATGGTTTTTTTCCTATTTTTATTTTCTTTTTCTTAAAATATTAAAACCAGCCAGATATAAACAGTACAACCAAGGTGATTTTTCTTCAATTTAATGCAAACAAAATACGAAGAAACTTTTCCCCCCGACGTATTATGTTAGGGGTGCGAACACCATAATTTTATGAGTAGGCGAATTATTATTATAAAGCCTGTGTGCAGATTAATTTAAAAATAAAATTTAAATTTCTAAAAAACTACTTAGGTACTTATATATTTTTATTTTTTCGCTATCTTCTATATTTTTACACATAATACTTGATATAAAAAAGTAGGCAACCCTATATCCAAATGAACCGAGTTTACTTTTATTCACTTCTAATCGGTATCTAGGTATAACATCTAATAACAAAGCTATCTTAAAGAGTATTAAAAAAAAATGTAAGTACTCACGTAAGAATAATAATCCAAATATTTATTTTTATGTCACTTTACCAATTTAAAAATACAGCGATTAATTTAATATTTGAATGTAAGAATTAAATCAAAACGCACGTGATGTGGTCCGTTAACAACAATAACAATTTTCGTTGACCATTCGATCAACTCAACCGACGTGCTTCATGAAATGACAAGCGACAACGACTAAAACTAAACATTACGAGATTACGACATCTTTGTACCGTATCGCGTCAACAAGCTACAACGTCCGAACCGATTCGACGTCGATTGTGCGAGAAGCGCATACATAAAAATTAACCTATTCCACACATTCCCCATCCCCAGTTCTTCAGATTTGCTCTACGTTCATTCAATTAGTCACAGAATTTTTTTAGTTTAAAATTAATTTAAATACTACGATCACAGTCTTAACAAAACAAGACAATGTTTAATTCGAAAAGTTACCTAATCAAAGAAAATAATTAAAAAAAAACTAAAATTCATGATAGGTACGTAATACCTAAAATTTTGTAATAATGTAAACTCTTCACATCAGCTATCACCCTTCAGCGATATAGGCCACTCTAGAGTTGGAAAAAAAAACCGTATTGAAATAATTAATCCTGCATCTGAGGAATATCTCTAGATTTATTGTTTTCTTCAGATGCATCGTTGAGTACTTATTAGTAGTTTCGATCGATTTTGAGTATGTCACTCTAGTATTAATAATTCATTCGGTGGTTTTTTCGGCCTATATGACTTAGAGACCTTTAAGAAACGAGCTTACTCTTTTTTAAAAGGCCAGCAATCCTCCTTTTTTTCCCCTGGTGTTGAAATTATCACTTTTAGTACCTCGCGGATGTTGATAAGTTAGGTCTTCCATCCAATACCTATGTAAACATTTCGTTATAATGCACATGGGTGAGAGAGATGGTTAGACCACTATATAGTCACTCAATCTGCACGAATCACAATTAATAAAGTGTGGGAGAAACATGACGTACATTGGTTGGATCACTCTCCGCTCATAATTGAATGTGACCTATACAGATTTAATCAGAAAGTTGAAATTAATGTTGCAACAGGCGAGTCCAAAAAGTGGAGATTGAAAGAGATAAATATCATGATTGTGCCATTTTAAAATAAAGGATATCGAATTTACGCTAGAGTTAGACCAATGTTGTGATTTCTTAACTTATGTAGTAATAAAAATCATTACCAAATTGTACAGGAAGATTGTTAGTGTTCTGTAAGAATCTGCTTCGCAGACCTATGTTGAAAGAAAATATACCAGAAAGAAAGGCTGTGTCACTGGGAGAAATTAATATGTTGCTAGCGCGCACAGGACTTAAATTGTAAACCTAAAATCGGCAATATCTTTAATGAAATGTTAGAAATGCGTAAATATTTTAAATCAAAGTTAAAACGTTGCCAAGATAGGCAAGAGCAATTACAAATGGATTTACTTGCTTTAAATCATTCTTCTAAACATTTCAAAAATTTCTGGAAGAACACCGATTAATTAAATGTATTAATAAAAACTACATTTCCTCTGAGTGTCGGCAGCGTCCACGATCATAACATGTTTGCTAATTTATTGATCAAAAATTTTACTGTGCAGTCGTCCTAGGAATCGGGTCCAGTGTATTGTAATGTAAATGAACGAGCGTAAAGTCCTTTTCTCTGCAAAGCATTTATCTAGTTATAAAAAAAAAAACATGCAGAGGGGCAAATCACATGGTAACGATGGTCTCAGCGTCGAGGATTTAAAGTATGCTGGGGTGCATCGCGCGTACTGGCGAATTAATTTATGTTTATGCCACTCTTACGTAATTGAGGATTTAATGCGTATTATTGTGCTACCGATCCTTGAAAATAAGACTGATGACACTTCTGATAAAAATAGTTATCGGCTCACTTGCTATAACAACAGCTAAATTGCTTTACGGTCTGTTGAATGGCAATCTCGAAAAACATGTGAAGTTACATGATGCACATCAAATGAAACAATTTTACGTATCTTATCGCGTTTAATTTTAGCTTTTTAATTCCCTAAGTTTCGGGTGCTTTACAGCACCCATGGTCACGGAAGGAACTGAGATGTTTGGCGTCCCGATGTCATAGTTAACCCGGCTACCTTCAGTTTTTGAATATAAATTTTTGGTCCGATCTATGTAGAAAGAGCTATTTTATACCCGGGGAAAGGAGAAAATGTTTATTCCCTTGCTAGGTTTTATCCACCCTTCGAGCATGGGTACACTGGTGAATATAATATCCACAGTAGATAAAATGGGAGATAGACTTAGACTTAGATAGATTTTTTGTATGAATATAAACTTGAACCCACGTCCAATGAACTAGGATAAAATTGTCCCTTTCAAATGTAAAAAATCATAATGTTTCATCTTTCATTTGGCTCCTTGCTACGGACGGGGGATATATGACTACTCGTTATGTAGAACGGGGATATACTTCTCCCCGTTGCCGTGGAAGGTACATGAGGACAAGATAATTTTATCTCTTGTCAGTGGATATAATCGGGGGATATTTTTTTATCCCCAGCCCATGCTAGCTGTGCAGGGGTATGCTTGGGTTCGGATTGAATTTATTTTATTTTATTTTTAATTATTTATTAGGAAGTTAACTTAATATTGTACAAAGAAAAAATATTTACAATTTTAATTGATTAATCTAATGTTTAGTACATATCATATTTAAAAGTTAACATATTAAAGTAAAATAAAAAGTAACGCACATTAATGTTGAAAAACGAAGAAAGGATAACAAAATAACCTATTTTAATGCATGAAACAAAAAAATTATAACAACTCATCGATCTTAATTTTGTTAGAAAAATATTTTTTAATTTTATTTTTAAAAGTGGTAAGTATAAAAATCGTTAAATAGGTCAATATCGACTAATTTAGAAATTACATTATAAGTTTTAAGTTTCTATTAATTGGAGATGATAATCCGACATTTGTTCTACAATAGACTAGTTTTGAATAAACTATGATTTCTTATTCTAGAATTAGGTCTAGGAACAATATATGATAGTTTACCTAATAGATTATTCGAGCTAGTTTTATTGTCAACGATTTTGACAAACACAAGTCCATAAGCACTCTTCGATCATTTAATGAAATCATATTATAATTACCTACCTAGTCTTTCAATGTAAGTTAATTGCCTGTGTATTTTGTTATTATTGAAATAAAGGTACTTAAGGAATTACTTTTGCCTATTTATATGTGTTTGATAATATGGATTCCAGACAGAAGAACAGGATTCAATTCTGGAATGGCGCTACTTTGTCCAGTAGCGCGTCCAGCCATAGAAAGTATGGCGCCTCCAATACGGCAGACTGGCAATACGGCACCAAAAAGAATTGAGTCCTTCTCGCAAATGTCCCGACTGGATTCCAAACAGGGCACCATCATTAGATTCAGTTTAGACCCTTCACGACAGTCCGATTCCGCTTGCTTAGTATGCGGGGAAGTCTTGGTCGATTTTCGTTTCTATTCTTACTATTATTACTTTTATTCAAAAGTATTTGCCCCTTATATTAAAAAATAACCTATAATTACATGTTTCCATACAAATTAGAACACTCTCTAGCCCCAATTACAAAATCTATCTATACATATAATAAAAATGTAAATAGCAGATGTCTGTACATTATATATTTTTATAATAAAAGTGAATGAGTAGTACTAAAAATAAGTAATTAAATACATTTCTACCATTTTTAGAATTTTCTGTCTGTCTGTCTGTCTGTTTGTTTGTTAACGTATCACGTATAAAGTACTAATTTATGTCATAAGAATTGTTAAGGAAATTATAAAGTGTATCTTCGTGTTACATTTAGTCTTTATTTCATTAAAATCTGTTCATTCCATCAAAAGTTATGATAAATATTCTAAAGTATGGGTAGGGAAGTATAGGTACGAATGGGTACGAATTTGCTCAACGGTGGCTTTAGTTGAGGCATCAAGTGCATTTTAAACTAATATCATATTATAAATCATAATTAAATGATGTAAAATAATGTTCTATAATGATATAATTATGTATATCTAAAATGCAGTAAAGAAAAGTATTAAAGAACGTATTAAATATATTATACAAAAATATATTAACCTTATTAACAAAATCTAAAGCACAATAGTTAACCAATTTCATCGACAGATGGTGGTGTTGTGCAAATGTAATGCAAATGGCCGGTTGTGGTTTTTTCCTGTACATGAGTTTTCATATTTACTGCTAATCTTTATATTACTCGTTGTCCTACTGCGTGTTGACAAACTCAATTTATTCTTTACCGCCGAGTACTCTATGTGGTAAATCTATTAACAATTGCGTTGGTTTTGGCGAGGATCAAACTTTATTTTTTGCTTACTGTGCTGGCACTGATTTATAAGTTCTTTTACGTTTTATATAATGTATCAATCACGTCAATTAATCTCTTTTATTTTTTCTGCCGACTTCCAAAAAGGAGTGGTACTCAATTCGACTGTATTTTTTTGTTTTTTTTATGTGTGTTACCTCATAACTTTGTACTGGGTGAACCGATTTCGATGATTTTTTTTATATGAAAGTTAACAGTTCTCGTGTGGTCCCATATGAATTTGATCAAGGTCAGACCAATAGTTTTTGAGTTATTCTTAAATAACTTATATTGAAGTCGGCTGTACAAAATTTTTAATTTTAAATTATTAGAATTGATGTTAGCAGCGCCATCTCTATTTAAATATATACATATAATAAAAATGATAACATGGTTGTGTTGTGTCTGTTTCTTTACATTGTATAGTATATTTGTGTGGCTAAAATCATTATGGGGAACTGAAAATAATTAAATAAGTACATTTTTATAAGTTTTAGAATTGTCTGTCTGTTTGTCTGTTTTTTATGAACGCATCACGTCTAAAGTAAACATCTTTTCTTTTCAAAGAAATCCTAAGAAAATCATAAAGCGTATCTTCGAGTTATATTTAACCTTTGTTTTAGTAAAATTGGTTAATTCTATCGAAAGTAATGATTATTATTTTAAAATGTAGGTTCTAATTTGTTCAATGGCGCCATAAAATCTCAGAAATAGTAATAAAAAGATTTGTGTGTAAAAAAAAAGTTCCATAATAATTAATATATTTATACTTAACACACAAAAAGAGATTAAAAAAAGGATGTTTTCTCACACAAAGGA